TCAGTTTGAACGCCAAAGTCAAGAGGTTCAAAACACCCACACAAATCAGGCCAGCAGGCCGCTGTCCCACCCGCCCATCGGAAAACGTTTACAGCATCACAGTAGCTCTCTGAACACCTGGATGCTCCCGCTGGGGACCAGGTCCCTGTGTTCCTGAATAGGTCTCCCAGTGACTGTGGCCCAGCTAGGTCTCATGGGACCAGGCCGATGGGCGGTGCGGTCCCAGAGCTGGGCAGTCCCAGAGCTGGGCGGGTGCAAATGGTTAACACAGTTGGCTGCTAACCGAAGCCTTGAAGGTTCGAGTCAACTCAGAGGTGCTGCAGCAGGATGGCCTGGCAAACTACCTCTAACCAACCATTCGCTGAGAGCTCGCTGGGGTGTGCCAGCGTTCACCGCAGCTCTGTGCAGAGCAGTCAGGGGTGGACACGACCCAGCACCCATCGACAGATGAGGGAGAAGGAAGTGTGGCCTGTGCACACAGTGGGGTGCTGCTCAGCCACGGTGAGACAGCAAGTGCTCACGCACGCCACCACGGGCGTGACCCTGGAAAGGTCATGCTGCACACAGCAAGCTGGTCATCGAAGGGCCAATGCTGTCTGATCCCACCAACACAAGAGCATAAAGCAGGCCATGAGCAGAGGGTGGGGCTGAATGGTTTATGGAGCCCCGGGGAGGGAGAGGGGGAATCACTGTTTGTTTATGGGGATGGAAAACTTGGCAAAGGAAATGGGTGACAGGCACACAGCATGACTGATGTCACTGATCCCACTGAACTGTGTATGTGAAAAGTGGTGACTAGCATATGGGGTGCTAAGCATATCTTCACAGTCAAGACAACTAACAAAAAGAAACGAAACTCCCCAGAGCCCAGGTGCACGCTGACACACATGGGGTCACCGTGAGTCAGAGTTCACTCTGCAGCACCTGGTTGTTTTGGGGTTTTTTTGGGCAGGACATCAAAGCTGCTTCCCACCCTTGGCGTGATTACTCCACAACACAACCGTCAGCCATGAGGCACCTACGTACCCCTTATGAGCTCTCATACGTGTTTGGAGGTGGCTAGGAGACTGAACCAAGAGAATTTCAAAGCAATAGCAGATGACGCCCTGAGCACACTATACCTGAAAGCTGATCGACCTCTAAAGGCTCCAGTGTCAATTCCCTGACAAGCTCCTGTCATTATTGAAAACCAGTAAGTTGGGTTTTGTTGTTCTGTTGTGACCAAGAGGGATGTGGCTTCACCATTCCTGGCTGGTAGAGCCTGGCTCCTGGTCCCTATCTTAACCTCTGAACTACATGGATAGACACTTGCTCTAACTTCCCGGTTCTCTCCCGGGGCTCACTGGCCCTGGCTCAGCCCACTGCTCCACGAGCATCTCTGTCCTGCCAGCATTCTTCCCAGGAAACTTGCTCCTCCCACCCTGCCCACTCCTGTTACCTCCTAGAAGCTCCCTACGGTTTCTTCCCTGACTGCTTAACATTTCACTAGGCAGGTACAGTCACTGGCCTCGGCCGTCCCTGGGATTCCACCACGTCTTCCTCCTCCAGCTGATCTAGAAACAGCGAAACACATAGACCCAGGACCACTGTGAAAGTGTCCCCACCCACAGGACACCCACTCATCCCCTGTGCCCACCCTGAGATGAATTCCTTATGACATTCCAATATGTGCACACTCACCCCAGCTCTTTGTAATTCCTGGTTTGAAAAGAGCCTTGGGCACTGGACTTGTATTTTTTTGGGGAGAGGGGAGTTGTAGAGAATGAAGAAAGACCACCAAAAGCACAGACTTGCCCCCAAAACTCAGGCTGGGGAGAAACACATTCCAGCAGCTTGGACTAGCTGCTACTGCTACTGCTACTGCTACTGCTAGACCCAGGCTCCATAGACCCGGGCTCCATGGACCCGGGCTCCTTAGACCCGGGCTCCACAGACCCGGGCATGGTGGACCTGGGCTCCGTGGATCTGGGCTCCATGGACCCGGGCTCCATGGATCTGGGCTCCGTGGACCTGGGCTGCATGATCTGGCCTCCCTGGGGTTCTCAGGGCCAACTTTTTGGGGAGTAGATGGCCAGGCCTTTCTCTTGAGGTGCCACTGGGTGGATTGAACCCCCAACTGTTCAGTTAGCAGCTGACTGTTCCCTGTTCGCACCCCCAGGGACGCCTGAAAGTGAGGACCCCAGGAAACCCGGGCACAACAGGAAGTCCATCAGAGTCTGGCCCTCAGCAGGTGACAGTGTCGAGGTGTTCTGACACAGGCGGAGGGGGACAGAAAAGCCCTGTCAGCACGGATAGCTTCCCACCGTGAATACAGACTTCAAAGTTACCCCTTCTCCCAAAGTTCAAACTGCAGTGTGCTTTCTAACAAGAAGGTAAATCTGACACACTTTTGAGTTTCTTTCGAAGAGTGGAGAGAGAAGGTGCCTGGCAAGGTGACTGGGGGGGAAGGCAGGCGAGGCACCTTCATTGTGCAGCTCACAGACCAAGACCTCACAGGTCACACCAAGCGTGTGGAGCCCTACGAGTCCAGGACAGCCTCTTGCCAAAACAAAAGTCCACCTGAGGCATCTGAGTCCACTGAAACCCCCCAAAGTCAACGTCCTCCATGGAAAACACAGGAGAAAACACACCATCATGCGCCAGGAGTCCCTGCTGGTGCCAACAGGTAAGTGCTTGGCTGCCGACCGCAAAGTTAGAGGTTCAAGTCCCCCAGAGGCACCTTGGAAGGAAGGCCTGGCAATCAACGTCTAAAACATCAGCCAGTGAAAACCCTGTGGTGCCCACTTCTGATGCACGTGGGGTCACAGGGAGCCAAAAGCCACGGCAAAAGGCTGGGTACAGCGATCCCAGGTTCTGTGGGGAAACTCAGCTGTTAGGAGACAGCTCAGTGGAGACCGCCAGCCTTTTTAATCTGATCAACTATAGGAGAATTTCTGAGCCCTGTGCAGTGACCTTGGAAGTGAACAGGGAGCCCATGGAAAGGGCTAGGAGTCCAGCAATTCAGGCTCCTGCACACCCATCAGTACCCGGCTTCCATGAGGCCAACAGTCTTGGTGCCTGGGACTGTGACGGCCCCCGCTCCTGGTCATTGTGTCCTAGTAACCGAGACAAACCTCAGTCCACCTCAGGACCAGCATCTGGCAGCCTCAAATGCAGAGGTCACAGGACACACGCCCAGAACACAAGGGCAAGCACGTCGGCACAGCCGGGGTTAAAACAATGCCAGAAGTGGTGCTCTGGGAGCAGACATGCGGGCACCCCCACTGCTCCAGATGCCCACGGCGGCGTCTAGCCCAGGGAGTGGAGGGTCTGTCCAGCCCAGGTGGGCAAGCACGGCCTCGACGTGCAGGGACACCCGCTACTCTGGTGCATCTCTGCTCCCCAGGAAAGCGACGGCCCAACACCCACCTGGAGTCCCACATTCCTCCCATTGGCTAGTTTATCAAGGAAATAATCCAATGACCTCAACGGCAGGGGCTCTGTGGCTCCATCATCATCAAAGAGCAAGAACAGCAGCAGCAGCCTGTCGGAGTGTCTCTCTCCTTCTCTGTCACTTACACACACACACACACGCACACACACACACACGCACACCCAGGAAGGGAACTTACAGCACAACCCATCCCACAGAGGATGATTCAACCCCCTCTGCATTTTTGTGAGGGTTACAGAACCCATTAACCCACAGAGTCACAGCAGACCTGAGGCTCCATCATTCTGGACATGCACCCCCCAATTCAAATGCATCCAAACCTGGTGCTGACCGGCCACTCCTAACTCAGGCACATCATTCAGCAAGTCCAAGAAGAACAACGTGGGCCCGTGGGATAAGCCCCAATCCCTTCTCCATTTCGCTGGACTCTCTGCAAAGCCAGTCTCTTCCTGCGGATTTCTACCACCCTTTCCTAGTTTTAGAAACTTTTGAGAGATGTGGGCAGGACCACAGCCTGAGCCAACCACACGCTCAGTGTCTAAGTCAGCCCAATGCAGAGAAATGGTGCCGGGGCTCCTCTACCAGCACCTGCGGCGTGGCCGCTTCCTTTAGAGAGAGAACTAGGGTCTCACTCACCCAGTGGTGGATAACTACCACGTGGTCACGCCCTCCACTGCTCGTGGGTCTCTGAGGCCGACGTGGCACGGTTTGGGTTAACACGGAAGAACAGGAAGCCCAAACACGGGTCCTCCGAGTCTCCTGCATGTTTTACCAACATACAACACAGCCTTTTATTCCAAAGATTCCCAAAGACTAACACATTCCTTTGAGTAACAAGATTGCAAGTCACACCTAAACACGCAGACAGGAGGGACCTCTGAGGTGCTGGAGACTCCAAGCCTCACACCTACCAACAGGCCAGCTCCGGGTAGAGTTTGCAAAACATAGCACTGGCATTGAGTGGGACTCTTCCAATGACGTGAAGGTCCCCTCCTTTGACACACTGGCCTAAACTAGTTTTTAAAGCATCTGAGTTTCAGTTTCCTGTGTGCACCATAGATTCCTGCCACTCCTCTTGACCACACTCTGTTTGTCCAGTTGTCTTGGATAACTCCCGTGCCCCCAGCAGCCAGTCCCTGAAACGTGCGAGTCAGTGACCTCTTAGCCAGCCACGTAAGAGACGCCACACAAGCAGGAGTCAAATAGAGGACTTTCCAACTTGCCCCTACAACCCGAGGATGGATGACGGCTCCTCCTGGGGTCCCTTAGAACCACAGGTAAAGCACCCATAGAGCCACATGTGTCCCCAACACCATGGCGACCACATTGCTCGTCTTTGGGCTTTCTAGTTTAAGACCAATGGATCAGTACCACTTTCCTTCCTTCAAGAAGTATAACCAGGATCTCAAAGATGACCCCCTGCAGCGGGTGGGATATCAGCAACACGGTCCAGGGCAGCCTCCATGAGCACCGCCGTGCCTGCTTGAGGACCAAGGCCACAGACCTCCGACTGGGTGAGAGACGGCGCTCTCTACAAGCAGAAGGACATAAACACCTGTGCCCCTACCTCGATCAAGAAGTCCCCAGTCCTCAGACCGGCTTGCCAAGCCACCCCGCCTTCATCCACGGACTCCAGGTACTGCAGGGCCGGGAAAGCTGGTGTCGGCGTGAATTCTTCGATGGGTGTATCAGCTGGGAAGACAAGGAGCATCTGGTTACGAGCCTGGGAGATGTTCCCCACGTTGGCAGTCCCTGCCTCCCTCTAGGACCCTGGGGGGGGCTTGCGTGTCCCCTGTTGGAAATCAGGGGTGGGGTGAGGGTCCAGGCCGATGCTCTTTTGTGGAGGGCACGGTACTCAGTGCCCAGTTCCCCGCCTATTCCAGCCGTCCACCCTGGTGCCCGTCCTCCCCCTCGGCCCCTCTGCTGAGACTTGCTACATGCCTGTCATTTTCTTTCAGAGCGTCAGTGACGAAACGTTTTCGCTTCTAAAAATGGAAAGTCCTTCCCATGCCACACAGAGCCACAGAGACACCACAGGGAGCCACTTGCCACCCTGACATCTATGTAGAGGCACAGCCTAGAGGCCTCACTGGGAAGTCGGGTGACACAGAATGCCCACCCCCGGGTTAAGAGAGGACCCGGGCTGCAGTTGTGGAGTTGGAGTTGGCTTACGTGTTCTCGGTGGTTCAGGGGGCCACTCCGTGCCCAGTGTCCACAGGAGGGCCAGGCACTCCTCCATGGAGTCAGCCTTGGCTTCTGGGGCCCTGTGCCTGCCAAGTGCACCTCCAGGGCTAGCGAGGGGCTGCTCTTGGCCGTCATGGGAAGCCGGGGGTGGGTGGGGGGGCGGCACACACACCACACACACACACACGCACACGCAAAGCTCTGTCTCCTTTTCTTGTTCTCTCTGGACAGCTTCCTTCCAGGGACGCCTCAGTTTAAGGATGGTCCCAGAGGGCGGGGGCCACCCCAGCCTGGGCCCAGGCTCCCCAGCCGAGGCGGCAGAAGCACCGGAGGAAGCTTCCGCGTCCCGGCCCCACACGTGGGGACAGATGCTTCCTCTCCTGGGGACATGCCTGATGCCATTTTGTTTTCCTTCTGAAGGGAAGCCCCCAAGTTCAGGGCCGGTGATGGGGACGTTTCCACACATGGAACACAGCCCCAGAGCCTCCCACCACAGGCCAAGTACTGGATGTACTGCCAGCTGGGCCCGAGGCAGGGGGACCACCTCACCACACTGCCTTTGCAAAGTCACCTTACAGACGAGCTCACTGCTGCACTTGGAATCAAGTCCCCTCACGGAACGAGCAGTCTCCAGGTTCCTGGAACGCCGGCCCGGCCATGCCGGCATCTGAGACCCACAGCGCCGACTCCTGCTCTATTCTGGCTGGACTGAGCCACCAAATACCCATTGTCCCCATGGTTTAGCAGGAGAGGTGGGGGGAGGGAGAGCCAGAGCCATTCCGAGCCATCTCGAGCACAGAAAATTAAAGATATTCCTAACGGAAGCCCCGGCAATGTTCTCCGAGGAAGGCAGGATGCTGAAGAACATGGTTGTCTAGCAACCAAGTGCCCCCAGGAAAAATGCTTCTTTGCCAGTCGGGAGCATTCTCCGTATAGGCACATGCACACACACACACACACACACGCGTGAATGCACCCCGGCCGGGAGCACGGGCTTACCTTTTGCCCCGCGGAGCACGAATCCAAAGCCCTCATGGTCTTTCTTTTGCAGCACCACTGTCTTCTCCTCGATGATGCAGTCACTGTAAAGAGAATTGCGGGCACAGCGACCGTTACTGTGACCCACCATCATCACCGTGGCCGAGCCTCCTCCGGGGACGCTCATCATCCTAGCCAATTAATCAGCCCCGCTCGCCAGCAGCATGAGGACGGCCGGTGTCAGCACGGTGGCAGGAGGAGCGCCGGCGAGCGGGCTGGGCGAGCGGGGTGGCTCCGGGGACGGGAGGGGGCAAGCACGAGCAGGCAGCAAGGATCCTACGTGGTGCAGCGGCCGCCAGGAGTGGCCGAGGGCCCTGCTCACAGCATCCGGGGGCTGCAGGGACGCCGGGAGGACAGAAAGTAAGTGGCCCGCTGGCCAGGGTCGTCCGCAAGCCCCCTGGGCAGCCAAGTGCCATCAGCCGGCAGAGAAATGAGGCAGCATTTTCCTTCCTTCCTCCAGGGGGGTTAAGCAAATCCAAGCCTCTACTCCGCACGAGCGGGCGGAAGGCACCGGAGACGCAGAGCACTGTCATGCGTCCACCGCCCCCCTCTCTCCCATCCTATTGCATGTGGCATGCGGTGGAGCCCCCACAGTCATCTGACGGCCCGGCCCCACGTCATCCGCACCAAGGACCCCGGCCCGGGCTTGGGGCAGGCACGGGGGCCGGGCGGCTGGGGCTCCGTGTGCCTCTGTGCAGCTGCTGCTGCAGCGGATTTAGGGTGCAGGGGGTACAGGCGGCTCATCACCCAGCACCCCGTCTTGTTAGAGACCAAAGCTGCCAGGAGCAGCTTCCTCCTTGGGGCATGCTGAGCTCCCGAGGACAGGACAGAGGGCACGCAGGCCGCCCCCTTTGAGGCGACAATTTAAGGCCATTGGTGGCTTCTTAGCAGAGCACATATACATAGGTATACACACACACACACATACACATGCACATATATATATATATTTTAAAGAAACCCAAATGCTCCAACTTTGCCGCGGTGGCCTAAGCCCCCTCTGGGCTACAGGAGTGTTGCCTGGCCGTGCTGTCACTGCCCTAGAGGCAGGGGGACAGAAAGGGACTGCCAGCTGGCCTCAGCAGGGGCCGTGCAGTCTGCGTCCCTGACCCCGGACCGCAGGAGTGGGGGTGCAGGTGTTCCCAGGCTCTGCTGCAGCTGGAAGTCAATCGGGGCTGTGGCAGCCACCAAGGGGGAAGCAAGCTGGGGGGACAGGTGAGGGGAGGCCCCCAGGGCCCCAAGGGAGAAAGAGGCTCGGGTTCAGGAGAGAAGCTGCAGTGGGCCTTAAAGGACGCCAGCGGGTCTGGAGGGGAGGCCTGTGGCCGAGGACAGCACTTGAGGGGGGCAGACGCCACGAGACCGTGTCTCACGCAGGAAGGCCGGCCATTCAGCACTGGAGTGACCCCTCCTAGCTGCCGGCTGGGACCTCAAGCCCTTGGGGTTACTTATGACCACGGAAGGGTTGGCTCTGTAAAAGCTGGGGTGCCAGGGAGCAAGATGGAGGAGCAAGGACTGGGCCATGAGCGGGAGGCATGATGAAGGGCAGGCCAGCCAGGGGCTGAGGGGGTGATGCACCGAGGGTGCTGGTGGTCAGGCGGCCGGCCTTGGGGTGGAGGAGCGGGACAGACACTTAGGACAGGCCCAGAGAGCCCCAGACAGGCACAGGACTGGGCACGGCAGGAGTGCTCTTCCAGAGAAGGCTAGAGAGGCCCAGAGAGGCAGGAACTTGCTGGCATCCCACGGCCGGGTATGCCGGGCAGGGTGACCTTGTCTTCCAGGAAAAGGCCAGCACCCTAGGGACACCTACGAGGACAGCTGCTGACCAAGATGCTGGTCAGATGTGGTGTCTGGACTCAGAGACCACTTGCCATGGCCTCCAGGGAACTCGGCCTGACTGTGAGTCCCCTGGAGGACCTCCCACGGCCCCTCACCCTCCCCTGCCCTGGTCGCCAGTCAAGGCCGAGGCCTGAGATGGAGCCACACGGCCACCCGTTGTGGAGAAGGGGACTGTTCTCTGTAAGCCCACACGAGAACAAGGACCCGGGTGGAATGAGGCAACCCCACACTGTGAATGCGAAAGCTCAGGATCCACTCTTTCGACGGCTGCCAGGACCCAGGGACCACAGGATGCCTCGGGGGCTGGGGGATGCCAGGGTGCCATGGACTCTTTGTCTCTACCTGTCCCCAGACTCGGACCACAGGGTGAAACAGAGGCTGGGGGGAGCTGGGATGCCAAGGCCTGCGTCCACGGCCATCCTGGTGGGACACCACATCCTGTCTGTCATGCTGACCGCCTCCCCTCCACTTGGTCTCCCCCCGTCCTGCGCCCCCCCCTGCTCGTCCTCCCTCCACTCTCAGCTTCTCAGAGGGTGTGTGGCCTTGGCCTGGGCCCAGCTACCTGCTCCGTCCACTGGCCAAGGACAAGGACAGGCACTCAGAAGCCCTGGCCATCAGAGCCGGGGACCCTGCTCAGGCACCCCTGGGACCTGGCCCGAGACCCCACGACGGATGCTCACCCTGCAGGCCCCCACCCACCGCTGGCCACCCTCGCCCTCTCAGCTGGGTGGGCGGCCCACAGTCGGAGTCTGCTCCCCCCCCACGGGCAGACCCTGCCTGCCCTCCAGGCACGTGTTGCCTCTAGCTGGCCCCCAGCCCCCCCAATGCCCCGAAGCTCCTCAGGGCCAGAGTGTCTCCACAGGGGCTGAGTCGCTTCCTCTAGCTGTCCCTCTAACGAGGAGCTTGTGGGGACAGCGGGGCAGTGAGGGGTGCTGCAGTGGGGGAGGGTAGGAACATCAGAGTGAACTTGGTCCAAATTCCAGTTCTGCCATCATGCCCTCTGACCCCAAGGTCATGGCACTTGACCTTCCTGAGCCACGGATGCTGGCTCTGCAGCAAGCCGAGGCTGGGGCTGCGGAGCGTGAAGAGGAGGTGACGAGAAGGCCGCCCGTGGCCCTGAGCACTGTGCCTGGGCCCTGAAACCAGACCTGTGACCGTGTTAGTCTGACTCGCAATGACCGCGTGCTCCACGGGGTTTCCAGAAGCCCATCGTTAGTGCTGTCATCAAGGCACCCCCGGGTGGACTCGAACCTCCAACCCTTCAGTTAACTGCCGCGTGCTTAACCGTTTGCACCAACCAGGGTCTCTGGCGTTTCTCGAGCACGCCCCGTGTGCCAGGTGCTCAGCCCGAGCTAAGCCGTCCACGGTGAGCACTCGAGGGCTTGTCTGTTTGTGCCACAGGACTTGCCTAGTGACAGTCACCACTCATTTGCTAAGGAGCTCTGGTGGCACAGTGGTTAAAGCACTTGGCTGCTAACCAAAAGGCCTGCGTTTGAACACCACAGCTGCTATACAGAAGAAAGATGCGGCAGTCTGCTTCCGTAAAGACTGACAGCCTTGGAGACCCTGTAGGCAGTTCCACTCTGTCCTCTAGGGGCGCTGTGGGTCAGAATCGACTTGACAGCCGTGGTGTGGTTTGGGGTTTACTCATTTGCTGGCGCTGCCCTCCCCTGACTTCCTCTCTTCCTTCACTAAGACTATGATTTGATTTGCGACCACCCAAGCTGATGGAGGGAGCTCTGGTGGCATAGTGCTTAAGGCACTTGACTGCTAACCAGAAGGCTGCCGGTTCAAACCCACCAGCCACTTCTTGAAAGGAAGACTGGGCAATCTACTTCCGCAGAGATACCGCCTTGGAAACGCAAGGAGGGTCATTGTAAGTCGGATCCACTTGACTGCAGTGAGTTTTTGTTTTAAGCTGATGGAGCCAGTCCTCTGTCCCTTCTCTAAACCTGCACAGCATTTCCTGACTCACCAATGAACCTTCTCACCCCTCCTGGGACCATACCACTCTCTTGCCCTAAAGCCTCATGTCTCCATCCATTTACTGACTATCTGTCTCGATGTTAAAAGGGATGGGTTTTGCCTTATTGTTCCCGTGTTAGCTCAGAATCTAAACAGGATTCTTGGCCATGTCTAACCCATCTCACTCTGTCCACAGACAGACCTGGGTTTGAACCCCAACACTTGCACCTACCAGCTTAGCTCCTCAGAGCCTAACTTCTGCCCCCTACAAATGGGGCCACTGATCCCTGCCCTGTAGGGTTTGAAGACACCTAGGCGGTGCAAACAGTGTTCACCCAACTGACGTAAAGTCAGTAGCTTGAACCCACTCTGCAGCGAGTGCCATGGTGGAAATGTCTGGCAAACTGCCCCTGAAAGGGCACAGCCAAGGAAATTCTACGGCCGACAGTCCTACTCTGCACGCAAGCGGCTGCCTTGAGTGGGAATCGACCCCACAGCAGTGGGTTTGGTCTTTGGTTTTGTCTGGCAGCCCACGCTGTGACAGTAACGAGTGTTCAGAAACCAAAGCCTCTCGCTTCCCCAAACAGCCGTGGCCACTGTCAGCCCAGTCCTTCCCATGCTGCCTGCTCTGGGCTCTGCAGTTCTCCCCACCCCTTGATGCTCTGAACTTGACCCGTGTCTGACTCCCATCTCAGACACTGGCCACTGTGACCCCTCGCTGCCATCTGAGAGTGATGCTCCGTTTGTCTGCGCCGCCCTTCCCAGCACTGGTCAGCTCCCCAGCCTCTGCACTCTGGGTGCCTGGCTAGCGGGAATGCCCATTCTCTTATCTCCTGGAACCCTGCCATCCTGTGGGACTCTTCTGACTGCCATCCTGCCAAATGACCACGTGTCCGAAGTATGATCATGGGCCCTGCGGAGCAAATGCCACAGTCCGTCCCGTTCCTGTCTGGCTCTCCCTACCCGACACACGCCTGTTCTTCGTAGGGTGCAATCTATGCTGCTGGGTGTTTTAGGGTGCAGTCTGTCCTCGATTTCCAGTGGGATTTCATTCCAGTCCCGTCGTAGCTGGCTCTGCCATAAGTCGAATACCTCATTTTTTCCCATTTGGGTTACTGTCTTTTCTCATCAGTGTCTTGATAAACCTGCTTTGTCTTTTACACAGAACTGTACAGACTGTGATGACACCAGCAAGCTGCAGGCCACAACACTGTGTGCTACACACACTACTACTGGGAAGATG